CTCTACAACATTTTTTTCTCGTACAGTCTCAGCGACTGATGCTATCGGAAAGGCTCCGTGGAACCACGGAAACAATTATTTTTCCAAGCGAGCTTGGACTTGCTTTAGTCACATTTAGAGCTAATTCGCGTAGACCTCAGCATCCTACTTCACGACAGCAATTTGTAATTTTGCAGGAATAATGTTGGTCCAAACAAATCACAGCTTAATTGATTTTTAGCTCTTGAAAGCTGACGGGAGCTGATATGTTTTGATATTGTTGACATTCTCATACATTTATGGTTAGTTTCCAATCTTTCTTTGATATTTCGAATTAAGCTAGGAACACTATAAATTTAAATTTTGAGCAATCATATAATCATAGTGCACAACTTTTTTTGGATGGAAAATCGATCATGTAAATTTGCTGAGATTAAGAAAGATGGCATTGCTTGAAAAAAAAAAAACGAAAAAGGTTTCGGAACAACTTAATCAACAATTGCTCTTTTAGTCAGACACTCGCTTTGGGGGAGACAAGAACTAATTGCCAGTAATGTGAAATTGTTCTAAACTAATCCTTATTGAGCCTGCAAAAAATCAACTCAAATCCAGTCGTTTCTTCGCTAAATTTGGGAATAACGAAGTGCAAAATGCTATTCTTGTTTCGTCTTTGTCTACATACAAGCCCCTCAACAATTTCATCTCAAATGCCATGGATTGCTAGTTGCTGTCATGTCTTTGTCACTGGCGTTGTCTTCCCTATCATGCACTTTTTGTTGGGGTGAGAATGCATTTCAATGCTGGAAGTTGTTATTCAAGCTTGCTTCTTTTGCTTTCTCAAAGGAACAATTAGCACTTGCCATTCAATCCTTTTGATTGCATAAACTTAAACTTGTCAGTCTTTTCTTCCGTTTGAGAAAGTTTTGGAAGTTGGAATATGCAGCAATCTAGGCAGTTTTCAAAGATTCTGAGTTGGGTACTACTCATCCGCTTGAAGTCATATCTTCTTTGGTTTTAAACATTATTGTGAATGAAAGGAAATAGAGTGAAGCCCTCTTTTGAATAAAACATTATTTTTTATATGGAGATCGAACACCATATAAAGAATTATTGCATAAACATCCTAAACATCTGCAGCAAGGGATAGTGTCTGCTAGTTGATAGCCAAAACCATTGTTTTTGTTGTTACTAGGTAATGGTGTACCACCTAACCATGATGCTCCAGTCCATTTCAGTACGACATATTGAAGTTGGTGTCAAGTGGAAAACGTTACGATAACCTGGGAGACGAAGTAGAAGCTAAGAATGAGGAAGGTGTTGAAATTGAACGTGTGGTTGCCAAATTAGTAAGTGGCTTGGCTTACTTTATCACTTTATGAGCTTCCCTCTTTAGGACGATCTTGTATGCTACGCTGATATCGAACGCCCTCCGAGCCGAAATATCACTCGTACTCCTGCATCAATCACTTCCAATCACTCATCCGTGAATTTTAAACGCTTTAGGAAGGTAAGCCCCACAGAAATATGGCTAACTACGTTTTTTTGATGAAATATGTTTCAAGGCCAGTCAAGGAAGGTTTAATGCGTCCTTATCATCTGTTTCAAATTTCTCATGTAGAATAGCTGGCAATGAAGATCTCGTTGATTTTAGACAGCTTTCATAGTACTCGTATCCTTTTATTTGTGTGCTTAATATCTGTGTTCTCATCATCCTGTGAGATTGAATGTGCACGACCAGTTCTGCTTTGATTTGAGGATAGTTTTACTTACACATTACTGCGCACATTTGAAGCAGTTAGCGAAATCCCTAAGATTCGGAAGAGAAGCACTAGCAACAGCTCCCAGGGATGAATTTTGAAAAGGTCATTCCATTGCGTTCCCATGAGTTTCACCTTTCTGTAGCAGCTTGTATTCACGAACAGCGTAAAGGTTCTTTGAAAATTCTCAGTTTTTTTTTTGGCAGAAAATGTTGTTGAGGATGTCAGAATGGGATCATCTACCTGAAAATCCCTACCAGATTTCATTAATGCTCTATGATCTTCAAGATATTACTTTATATCTGTTGTCAGCGAAATGGAAAAGTGCATGAAGTCTAAGTTTAGCTCGTTGGTTAGAAAAGTCAACAAGCTTTCTAAACTGATTTTATGCGAAACAATCATGCTGTTTTTTTGTTTTTTCCTATGAAAATATTCCCCGTTGGAGCGCTCAAATAATTTTTTGATCAGAAATTTCTTATGACTGCCGATTTTCATAGAGGTAGACTAAAAGAAGATTGATTACGGTGTTTTACTGAAACACATCTCTTCTGAAGCATTACTGCAAAACTTTATTCTGTTTATATCTTTGTTCAAGAAGGTGACGTACCGGTAACAGACATACGAAATCTGCCATCATCCTTGTAAACTTGGTTTTTTGAAGATAATTGTACAATTTCAAGTGGATAATGGAATGCCATGTATGAACCGAATGCATCAGAAGTCATTTTTTAAGTTTCATCT